TTGTAGGTTATTTTAATATTATAAAAAATGATGTAATTTAAAAAAGCTATTGAATACTTGATTATTAATAATGATTATTATTATTTTATTGTTTTGACTAAATGTTTTTTTAATATTTAATTATTTATGTTTTATTTATATAGATGTTTGATAATTATTTAATAATGATCATTATTATTTTATTATCAACCTGTACATCAAATAAACAATTTTTTTTTCTTTTTAGAAGTTCGAGAATTAGACGAAAATGTTTGACATGCTTAGCTTTCGATCGTGATTATATAAGAATATCATCGATAAATACAATAACAAATTTATCAAGATATTCATTACATAGCCTATTAATCAAATCCATGAATGTTGCTGGAGCATTTGTTAGACTGAACGACATGACCAAAAACTCATGATGTCCGTATCTAGTTTGGAACACAGTTATGGCAATATTCTCATCTCTAACTTTTAACTGATGATACCCTGACCGTAAATCGATTTTGGAGAAGTAACTTGCACTGCCTAATTGATCAAATAAGTCATCGATTATCGGTAAAGAATATTTATTCTTTATATTCAGTTTATTCAATTCTAAAATATTCAATACACATTCTCATCGTCCCGTCTTTCTTTTTAACAAATAACATGGGAGCATCCCAAGGAGACGTACTTGGTTTGATAAAGCCCTTGTCAAGTAATTCTTTCAGTTGTGTCGTTAACTCTTTTTAATTCAGATGGTGCCAAGCAGTATGGTGCCCTGCCCACTGGTGTCGTCCCGGGCGTCAAATCAGTTCTGAACTCAATGGATCGATTGGGAGGTAAACTAGTCACTTCATCATGAAATATTTCAGGATATTCACAAATGTCTGGGATGGATTCCTGTTTACCTTTTTCTTTCTTTGAATCAATCATATAGGCCATAAAACTTCGACATCCCTTCTGAACAGACTTTCTAGCTTTTATAACAGATATCAGGCTGGTGTGATGATCCGGCCGATCATCATAAATCAGAATTGGCCCTTTCCCCGGTAAATAAATGTGTATCATCTTTTTATTACATACAATGCTGGCCTGATTCTCTACTAACCAATCCATACCCACCACTATATCGAATTCCCTTATCGGGATCGGGAATAAACGAATTGATAACACACACCCTTCAATCTCTAATTGGAAGTCATTGAATACATGAGTAATAGATACTTGACTATTAGTAGTATCAACTACTAAGGCACAGTCAAGAGGCACAAAATTCATGTATAAACACCTAATAAATAAAGGCTATACAAACAAATAATTGGCACCAGAATCACATAACACCTTTGCATATACTGAGTTAAAAAAAAATGTACCTGTTACCATATCAAGAGTTTCCTCTGCCTCCCCATTGACATCTGAAAAGACCGTCCTCTCGCCTTATTTGATTCATTCCTCCTGATGTTGACTCCTTCATGAGTATTAGGAGTATTCTCACCCAGAGTCAATCTTGGAGCCTTTAATTGAGGATATTCCGAGTTAATGTGATCAGGGGAATTACAATGAAAACAACGTTGGGGCATTCAACAATTTTTGGATAAATGTCCCGGTTCTCCACATGTGTAGCATTTTCTTTGATCAAAATTACAATCACCTTGGTGAACACAATGACATCTTTGACATGGTCGCTGAACCGGACGATTATCTATTTTTACGAATTTTGGTCTATACTTAGCTGAAGACCCCTCCCACTTTTTCTTCTGAACTGCTTTTTCTTGCCACTGCTAGTTCTTATTTCTTTTTGTTGTTTCCGTCGCGTCTACTGCCAATGACAATGTTGAGGGTTTCAATGCAATCACAAATTCTCGTATCGAAGGCGTTAATCCCCAAATATACCTCCCGACTTTACGAGATTCAGATGAAATGTAATGTTCGAAAAAATGGGAGTGTTCAACAAACTTCTCTATATACTCCCTTATTGTTTGGTTGCCCCGTTCTAATTTTAAAAATTCATCTTCTAGTTGCCTTATTGCCGCTTTTGGTTAGAATTGTTCCTTGAACCGATCAACAAACTCCATCCAAGACATGATTTGCAAAATATTAGGTTTCGTCAAGGATTCAACATCCCACCAATATGAAGCATTAGACTTAAGCATAAACACGACAAAGTTGACTCGATCCTTGTAAAAACACTTACTTGTATTGAATATTGATTCTATTTTCTTCAGCGAACACATTGTTTTTACTGGATCCCTTTCTCTGGAAAAAGTTGGAGGTTTTCATGTTAAAAACATCTTAATGTCACCCCCTCTGGTATTTGCATTTTAGACTTGTGGGTTAATATCTACTCGCTCCGTTTCCACCCTGGCTAGTACCCCCAAAATGGAAGTAAGAGTATGTATCAATTTATTCATTTCTTTCGCTAACATGTCCCGAGTAACATACTTAGGATATTGAATTGGTTCTTCATTAAGATTCTCCTGAATAGATTCACCTTGATCGTGATGAACTTCAGGATGACTACTTTTGCCTCTTCCGCGCCCCTTTCCTCGGCCCCTGCCCCGACTTCTCCCTCTACCTCGACCCACTGGTAGATTTTCAGGAACATTCTCAGGTGAACTTTCTTTCTCGTCTGGGATTATAGGGGCGATCCCTTCAGACCTTCTAGAATGACCTGCCATCTGAAAATTTACACAATTTAATATTTACATAATCACATTCCCCAAATATAATAAGGTATCCAAGTACAAATATGTACTTGTAACACCATTATTACATTGGTTAATTGTAATTTGAATTTACCTTACATATCATTCTTTTAACCCATCATATTTATTTCAAAGGTTCTACATATATCAGGGATCCTTAATATGCAAATAGTACAGTTTAAGTCTAGACATCATGTTGAATACCTAATTCTCTTGAACTCATGCTCTAATACCAAATTTGTAACACCCCATGATCACATTTGCATAAAACCATATATTTTATATACCCATAAATATAATTTACACATTTGGTCCCACTATATATACAAAAGCTACATTACAAAGGTAGCTACCAAAAAATTTCCACATTATCTTTAGTACAAAACTTGTAATCATATCAGGTATTCAAGTACAAAAGATAACATATCATCCCAACATCCCATGCAAGCAATTAACAATTCTTCATAACTTTCCCCTCCCCTTATCATCAGATTGTGTCCGACTTGTAATGCACATTTTAAAACACCAAAATGAGGGTTAGACCTTGAGGTCTAGTGATAAATCCTTTCGATTGCTATTATAGGGTGGAAATCACCAAAACACTTGTATATAACCCATATTTGTATAAATAACAAATAAACAACATTTTATCAACCAAACCTATTTTTGTTACATTAAAATGATGAGATAACACTCATTTATCACATTAATAATAAAATATACCCTTTTATATCGCATAACTCCTAAACTTGTCGCATCATATAGATAATCCAAATTTCCTCGCAACACATTGATGCGAGAACCCCATCTCATCGCATCACCTTGGTGCGATAAACCAAATTTGTTGCATCAATTGGGTGCGATAAGTCAATCTTGTCGCATCACAAGGATGTGACAAACATACTCCTCGCATCAGAAGGATGCGATAAGCATACCTCATCGTATCAATAGGATGTGATGAACTCAAGTCATCAAAAAACTTTTGGTGATAATTTTATGTAAAATCTTACTGATTTTATTAACAAAAATCACAAATACAATTAATTTTCCCTCTATAAAAGTAACCTGTTTCATTTAGAGCAACGAAGGACAGTTTTAGAGCTCCATTACCTGCATATTAGCCTTTTGAAAACCGAGTACACATGGTGCACTTTTTAATAGGGAGTGTACTGATGAGGGGGTGGAAGGCAACATGTGTGTGGTAGGGGGATGGTATCCCAAGATAACAAGTACAAGTATCTAGGCTACATGATTGAGAATGGTGAGGTTGACGATGATATAACATGCATGAAGACAAGCTGATTAAAGTGGCGACTGTCACAAGGGTGTTGTATGACAAAGTCCTATTGAAATTGGGGAAAAATAGACAAGACCACCTAATGTCATATCGGTTCGAGTATTGACCGATAAAAATAAACAATGAGAGGAAGAAAAAAGTTGCAGGAATGAGGATGCTTAAATGGACATGCAGGTTTACAAGATTCAAGATAAGGTCTTCGGGACATATTAGGTGTTGCACCTTATTAAAAATAAGTTGAGAGAGAAGATTACGATGGTTTAATCACGTTCATAGAGAGATATAACAACTACAATGAAAAAGATATAAAATATGACGGTTGAAGAGGTCAAGTCTACACACACACACACACACACATATACACACACACACACACATATATATATATATATATATATATAGGGAAATGTTCAAACGAGAACACCTTCATTTTACGAGAATGCGAGAACACTCTTTTACTATAGACACTCACATGTAATACTATTATTTCATCACATATAATACACATGTGATACTAAATCAGAGACGCGTGCGATTTTCGATGCGATCTTGGTTGCGGGCCAAGTCGCCCTTACACCACTAAGCCATCTCACAAGTATTATCACATGTGATAAGAGTGTTGTTGATATGATACTATAATCCATCAAGACAATCACATGCGATGCTAAATCATAGACACAGAGAACCTTTGGCGCGACCTAAGTCGTAGAACACGTCGTCCGCACATCACAGGGTCCCCTCACGCGTATTATCACATGTGATAAGAGTGTTCTTGCGTTCTCGTAAAATGGAGGTGTTCTTTTTTGAACCTTCACTTATATATATATATATATATATATATATATATATATATATGGTCCATTCAAGGGAGAACTGATTAGTTTGTGGTAACTGTGAGATCCATTCTCAACCACAAATCAACAGATAAATTAGGATTTTAATAATTATGGTGATTTGAGTTAAAACTATAATTAGATGACATTTTAAGTATTTTTAAAAAACTCCTATCTACTCTCTCCTTTCTCCTCTCTCATCTCTCAGGCCTCCGGTGAATATTAATCCGGTAGGTACCAAGTAATCACAAATATACACAATATGATACCCATAGTAATATACTATGATACCAACTCAAACCTTAAAAACAAAAATACACATGTGATATCCATTGTAATATACTGTGATACCGACTTCACCGGAGGCCGGAGATTGGAGGTTGGAGAGATGAGAGAGGAAAGAGGGGAGAGGAAAGAGGAGTTTTAAAAAAAATACCTAATATGCCTTCTAATTATAATTTTAACTCAAACTACCATAGTTATTAATTTCTTAATTATCCGTTGATTTGTGGTTGAAATTGAACCTCACAGTTACCACAAACTATTCGGTTCTCATTTGATTAGGTATATATATATATTGATTTATTTGATTTGATTTCTTTATTATAAAAATCAAGTACATGTGGATGTGGGTGGATGCGTGTAATATTATAAACTTTTCTTTCTATTTATTTTTATCTTTTATTTACGATTTTCTCATCGTGTTTCTTCACATCCTCATCATCTCCATCACCTAAAACCCTAACAAAGTATCTGAAACACATACAGTGCTTCCAGTAATGTCGAACCATCAACGATATTCTAGCAGGGGTTTGCCCAACAAAACCCATCAACAAAGGTTTGTACCTAGACCGGCGGCTCTCAATTCGAATCCGACCCTCTCCGATTCTCTTCGACAACAACAATCATCTTCTTCTAGCAGTTCCAGTGGGCAGCGTAGGATCCAAGGTGGTAGTGGTGGTGGAAGTTTTGTAAATTACTTACCGCAGGATGAGGCGGTTGCGGCAGGTCTAGGTGCTGAGGAAGGTGGTCTGGATCCTGTTGAATCTCAGGCAGTTGTGGACTTGTTGAATACAGAGTGTTCTCTCTTGCTCAAGTTAAATCCCAAAGATTTCTGGAGAGAAGGTTTTTCCAAATTCCTTATTTCGTTGGAATGCTTAAGTTACATCGATCGTTGCTTACTTGTGCACTAGTTTGGATCTTTGATCTAGTTGTTTTAATTGGTTATATTTTGGTGGTTGTGGATCAATATGATGGAAATTGCTTCATTGAATTGTCTGATCTTAACTGCCATGAGAACACACACGTAATTGTAAATTCTTTAAACAAATTTCATTGTCAAGTATAGATATGCATTGGCAAGTTATCTTCAAGTTGGAAAGTTACAAAATTTTGATATTTTAATAATTTTATGAGCGACCAGCATTTAGGAAGTAAATATTGACCTTGGTGTTTCTTCTTTAACAATAACGTACTTGTGAAAATTTAAAATAAACACTTCTGCATAAAATAGCAGAGAGGAACACTTAAGTTGGCTGAGGAGTTGAAAAAAGTTAGGACATCTGGAAGTTCTCTAATAAGTTGGCTGTTTAAGTGGGTTGCAATTCGATGATGACCAAACAAAAGCAATAATTCTTCAATTTCACAACCAGTCAACTTTCTAGAAAATTTTAAGATGAGGTTATGTGTTACCTTAAGTAGTAAGGTTATTGACATTGTGTCGTTTTGCACTCCATAGGATCCTTTTACTCGGGGGGGGGGGGTGCTCTTGACCCAGTGAATATCGCCTATTCTGTTGTTTATCAGTCGTGGTATACAATCGGTTTACGAACTAATGAAGATCTTTATATTGTCCGTACTCTGATTGTGGTTGAAAGGAGTTTAAGAAAATGTTTACAGACAATGACATGACTGATGTTGCAATCTTGAGTTCCTTAGGGTGGGCAAAATGGTATATAAAACAAAAATTGTACGATCATACCGGTCAACAATCTTGGTAGGTAAGTCTTACTGAATGTATATCCATGTAATATGGTAATTGGGTGAAAGATTCGAGAGGTTTGCCATTTGATAAACCGTTATTTCACACATACACATGCTGCAACTTTAAAAGTCTTGGGTCCAAACCAGACTAGTAATTTCATTCATTGGATTGCTAAGAGTTAAACAAGCCTAGTTTTGTCTGAAAAATTTAGATGCATTTTGAGCTATATTGTCGGATGCTAATTTTGAATGGATAGCCATTTGCTTTTCTCAAGATATGGAGAAAGTAGCATTGAATGGTAATAGGTATATAAACCGTAGCCCGTTGGTATTATGAACGATAAAATACAAGATGTAGATAGCTAGTCGCATGCTTTGTTCAATCCCTATTTGCTTGTGTAAGCAGAAAGAGGGTCGACATGCTTGTTGTATACTTGATTTTCGTTAATTATCAATTGAGTAACGTTCTCTGATTCCCTCATTTTATATCTATTCAAAATGGGATGGGAATATAGGATTTTGATAAACATGGTGTCAAGGGGAATTTTAGTGAAGTCACTTTGTAGTATCTGTGATAGTTGACCAGGGTGTTGACCAGTTGTTAGGTCTGTTAGGGAGGAAAGTAAGTTGGTTAGTGAGACTGTAAATAAGAAGGTAGGTTAATTGTAAGGGATATGCAAATATCTTTTTATAAACTCCATTTTAGTGGATTTGGCAGGGAGCAAAACCTTTCGAGAGTTGGGCAATGATCAACAAACATTAGACTTGTCCCCATTCCTTGCCGACTTTGTGTCACGGTGGACAATGGTGTGCGTCAATTGGTACCAGAGCAGGAATATTGAGGAGTCTATTGTCAAAATTAAAGAAATTTGTGGATCGTGAAGGAAGAAATCAAAAAACAAGAAGATAAGGACCTGGAACCAACAAATAAACATCCCTCAATGAAGAAAAGAAGGCGGCTAAGCATGGAATTGGAGAGATACGTTGTGGAATGCCCATGTTGAAGAGAATTGTTCCAAACATGAGATTTTTGTGAAGGATACTGTCAGTCTGTAGTTCCCTCGGCTGCTATTGTAAGGAGGTCCACGGAGCCTGAGAAGATGAAAAGGAAGGCTTTAAAGCAAGGGAAATCATAGTTAGCAGATACTCTACCTCCACCGCCATCGTGGCCACCACCACCATGGGGATAGACAATATGATTCTACATATGCTTTTGGAGTTAAGTTCTCTGTTTCAGTGCAACGAACTACCTTGCATAACTCCTGGGAAGTTCCATTATTTTTCGCATCAATATCCGTCCCAATCATGGCAAGAGCCATGTGCACTTGTGATCATGGGCAATAACAGAGTATTATTGGATGAAGACGAGGACATAATTAGTGAAGAGAAATAAACATGTTGAAGTTAAAAAAGAAAAAAAGAGATGAAAAACGAAACGCAATGGTTTCTGTCGATGAAGAATCCAACAGGGATAAAGGAGATGGAAATATTTATGGAGGAATTGGGGTATTACGTTTTGGAAATGGGAGTCCACTTCTTTGTTTAGATTGACATTTATTGAGGCCCTTCACATTTCCATCGACATTCACCTTTGAGAAGTTCCACTCAAGTTTTTACCTCCCTTTGATCATAATCTCATATTCGAGAAAGGAAAATAATGAGGGTTCTTGTAGGAATGCACTACAAGTGGGAGGATTCTACACATAGGAGCATTCGTTCTCTATTTTTTTGTTTTCATCTTGGGTACAACGTGAAGCTTTAGGGGCGGGTCTTGATAAACATGGGGTCAAGGGGCATTTTAGTAAAATCCCTTTGTAGCAGTTGTGATTGTGTTAGGCGCCGACTCCAGGCCCAAGCCCATTAGGGTTGTTAATAAATAGGGGGAAGAGGGGAGAATAGGGTAGGCAAAAATTAGTGTCTTTCATGTTTGGGAGAGATCTGGCTCTGGATTCAAGAATTACCTTTTCCTTCTTGTAATCGATTACCAATTTAGCAATTTCAATAAAAAACAACCGGCTGGTTCTTATCATTGGTACCATAGCCTTCGATCCTGATTGACCATGGCATCGAAGAATCAAAGAGAATGCATCGATGTGCTGGAGGAATCCGTCCATGCGATGGGAGGGCAATTGAAATATGTCGAGGGGAGTTTGCAATCCATGAGAGCCGATGTGAAAGCGCTTGCAATTGCGAGGCAAGGAACACCAAATGAATTGACGATCTAGACAAGGGAATTCAAGCGATTATGGGTAAATTGGATTCGCTACTCCAAGCGGGATCCGACAATTCCACTCAAACCGGAGGGTCGTTTCGAGGTTCTGGTTCGGTAGGAGGTCCAGAACCGCAACCAAAAGGGGGTGTTAATTCCCTGTTCTTCGTCCACTCAGATACGGGAGGAACCGGTAAACCCCACATCCAAGATTCTCTCCAACGGATTGGAGATTGCAAAGTGTTGAATTACCCATGTTCAATGGAATCGAGCCAGATGGATGGATTTTTAGGGCGGAATGTTATTTTTCCCTTCAACGTTTTGATGAGAAGGAGAAGGTTGCCACGACAGGGATTTGTATGGAAAGCGAGGCTCTAGCGTGGTTTCATTTGGCTGATATCAAACGTCCGATTTTGGTTTGGGAGGATTTGAAATTGCAACTCATTAACAAATTTCGCCTCACAAACGATGGTCTTCCCGTGAACAACTTCTAGCCCTCCAGCAAACAAGTACTATTCGCGAGTTTCGTCATTCCTTCGAACTATTAGCATCCTTTTTCTTTGATCTCCCGGAGGTGGTGTTTGAATGTAATTTCATGAATGGACTCAAACCGAGCATTCAGGCTGAAGTTCGTTTATTACGGCCACAGGTTCTGGCCCAAAATTACAGAGACTGCTCATATAGTTGAAGTCAGAAACTCCCGAATGCGTGGAGATACTCGAGTAACTGGTTTGGGAAACCCCCCAACGACAACCATCCAAACGGAATCCATAATGACTAGAAAATTAACCGAGGAAGAACTTCGAGATAAGAGGGCGAGAGGCCTTTGTCTCCGCTTTGACGAAAACTATCGAGTCAGGCACAAATGTAAGAACAAAGAGCTACAAGTGCTTCTACTGCAGGATGACCCCACCGAAGAACATAAAGGGGAACTCAATCAACTCCAATTTGAATTTTTCCCACCTTAAGGACAAGGTGGTTCTTTGGGGGCGGGGCAATGTTAGGCGCCGACCCCAGGCCCAAGCCCATTAGGGTTATTAGGGCTGTTAATAAATAGGGGAAAAAGGGGAGAATAGGGTAGGCAGAAATTAGTGCGTCTTTCATGTTTAGGAGAGATATGGCTCTCGAATCCAGAATTACCTTTTCCTTCTTGTAGTCGATTATCAATTCAGCAATTTTAATACAAAACAACAAGCTGGTTCTTATCAGATTGTTGACCCATTGTTAGGTTGGTTAGGGAGGAAAGTAATTCGGTTAGCCTATTGATAAATAAGAAGGTAGGTTGGTTGTAAAATATGTGGATATTCTTTTGTAATAGCGATCTTTGATGAAATATCAACGAATCACTAACTTATATTCTCACCATATTGGTGTAGTCTTTCATGTTCAGTTGTCCACAAACACATTGCTGCAAATCTTCACTTTGGTAATGTTTCTCTTCTCCCTTTGTTTTCAGTGGCTAGTGATACTTCTCTTCATGTTTTCTTGGAAAGTTTCTTAAAGTTTAGAAACAGATGGTATGACTTCCCTTATCGTGGAGCCAAGGGAATGGTTGCAGGGGTGATTGTTGGTGAGCATGAGCTAAGTCGACGTGCATTTATGATTCTCTATCGCATGTATGTATAGACCTTTTTTTTAAATTTTCACCACAATTTCATCAATATTGTTTACTTCATGGTTGCATAACGTTTCCTGTGAAGATCTTCAAATCGAGATCCTGGTGCCAAGGCTTCTGATAGTCTAAGTGCAAAAGATCATGCAGGTGTGTTTACTTGGTTACTCTTTTCCATTTTAGTTCAGTATGCACATAATTATATGACTTGCCTTTGATAGATTACCAAAGCTTCAAAGTTATTCCAAAAAATAAGTAATACATATATTTGAAAGCGATGCATGATGGTCTGCTGGTAGTTATATTCTATTCAATATGCAAAAGTATTAAGCATTGAAATGCAATGATATACTTTCATATCTCAAGTATTAAGTCAACCTTAAGGTTATATAAATCATTTGGTTGTATTCTTTAACATCTTCATGCCTTTGATAAAAAACAATAGGCGTGTGGGAACTGATAACCTGGTAGAATGCTTTTTTAGCTTGTCTGAACAATTATTTAATGTCTTGATGTCCTTTCTTATAGTTGTTTGTGATCTTTTAAAGAGCATGTTAGATGTGGCTTTAATTGAGTTAGTTTTATTTTTCTGTTTAGCATATCTTGACTATTTCCTGTAAATAGGTGGATATCCTCATTTTTGTAAAGTCTAGTCTCAATTCGTAAATAAAATTCCTGCAATTCTCTCTACATAGCATTCTCTAAATTCTCAACAAATTGGTATCAGAGCGTGGTGATCAAAGACACGCTTCTGTTGGTTCTGGATCCTTTTTTTTCCTTTCCGGTTCTTGATTCTGCAATTAATCAAGACTGCTTCTTCTGCGATTGATCAAGTCGACCCGTGTTTTGAAATTGCTTCTTCCGATTGCAATCTTGTCAATCAATTGCGTCAATCTTGAAGTCCAATTCAAGGCAGCGAGATTCAAGGTGGAGCGACAAGTGAAATTGGTGATCGATTGGTTTTCTGGAGTTGAAATTGGCGAACGATTGGAGTCCGACATCTTGAAATTGACGATCAATTGGTTTCTGGAATTAAAAGATTGGGAAGCGTATCCGAAATTGGTGGTCGATTGGAGGCTCGAAATTGAAATTGGCGATCATTTGGAGTCACACAATTGAAATTGGTGATTGATTGGTGACAGGCGACTGTGACTGGGTGATCAATTGGCGACTAGTGTTCGATTCGGTTCAATCTAGATTTTGGTGATGCCTCCACAAATGATCAAGATCGACAAGTTTACTGGGAAGAATAATTTCAACTTATGGCGAATCAAGATGAGAGCTCTTCTAAAACAACAAGGCATTTGGATTCCTTGGCTGGTGAAAGGCCTGAAGGGATGGCTGAATTTGAATTTGCACAACAAGATGAGAAGGCTCACTCTACCATCTTGTTGTCTTTGGCAGATGAGGTGATTTATGAAGTTGCCGATGAGGAGACTGCTGCGTCTTTTTATGGCAGAAACTGGAGAAGTAGAGAGCCTCTACATGACCAAGTCTTTAACGAACAAGTTGTTGTTAAAGCAAAGGTTATTCTCATCACGAATGAAGGAGGGAATGCCTTTGAAGGAACATGTTGGCAAGTTAAACTCCATTCTTGTGGATTTGAAGAATGTTGAAGTCAAGATTGAAGATGAGGATGCCGCCCTCATCTTATTGGTTTCATTGCCCACTTCATATGAAATTTTTGTCAACTCGTTCGTTGTTGGTAGAGACACAATTACAATGGAAGAAGTTCGTTCAAGTCTGCACTCACGAGAGTTGCGACATAAAGCTTTAGGAAGTAGTTCCGAAATTCAATCGGTTGGCTTGTCGGTGGTAAACGGAGATAGAGACAGAGGTAGAGAAAAAGGCCGAGAGAAGATCGAAGACCAGAGGTCCAAGTGGAAATTCAAGGGATAGCTGCCACTATTGTAAAGAACCGGGTCATTGGAAATGAGTGTCCAAAAATAAAGTCGAAAGGATCCGCTGCTGTAGCATTGCATCTTTGGAAAACAAAGGAGAGTGAGTTTCTCAAAAGCTGTCCATACAACCAAGTCGATTTTAGATTACCTACACGCTGATTGTTGGGGTCCCTCGCAAGTTCCTTCACTTAGTGGTGGTCGCTACTTTCTCTCAATTATTGACGACTACTCTAAGATGACTTGGGTATTCGTCATGAAGCATAAGAGTGAGTTATTGAGAAATTTAAAGATTGGAAAGTTCTCATTGAAAATCAAGTTGGGAAGAAGATAAAGCGGCTGCGAACGGACAACGGATTGGAGTTTTGTTCAAGTGAGTTTGATCGGTTTTGTAAAGACGAAGAAATTCTAAGGCATCGAACGGTTAGACACACTCCATAGCAGATTGGAGTAGCCAAAAGGATGAATAAAACGCTGCTGGAAAGAGTGAGATGTGTGCTGTCAAATGCTGGGTTGAATAGAAGTTTTTGGGCAGAAGCGTTGAACACGGTTTGCTACATGGTGAATAGATTCCCGACAACAACAATTGATTGTAAAACTCCTATTGAGGTGTGGTCCGGTAAGCCGACTGATTACACGAGCTTAAGAATATTTGGTTGTCCTTCATACTATCATGTTAGTAAAGGAAAATTGGAACCAAGATCAAAGAAGGGGCTGTTTATGGGATACGAAATTGGAGTAAAGGGCTACAGAATTTGGTCTCTTGATAAAAGAAAGGTGATTCTCAGCCGTGACGTAGTGTTTAATGAGGAGAGTATGTTACTTGGGGTGAGGTGCTCATCTACTCCAAGTGTTCAAGAGGAGAGTGTGTCCGAACAGGTGGAGTACGAGTTAAATGGTCCCGATGAAGACGAGAATACTGCTGGACAGCACAGTAAGTCAGTAACTTGCCTCAATCAGAACCTGTTGTACATGAAAATCCGCACCAGCCTGTAGAATTTCGATCTGTAACATTAGATAATCCTCGAAGACAAGTTGGTAGGCAATTCGATATGGTTTTGATGATATAGTGGCCTATGCTCTGCAAGTTGCTGAAGAAATGGAGTTCTTTGAGCCATCTACTTGCAAAGAAGCAATCACAACGAAGGAGAGGCTGATGTGTGGATAACAACCATGAGTGAAGAGATGGAATCCCTTCACAAGAATAGAACTTGGGAGTTAGTAAAGTTACCTCAAGGCAGAAAAGTTGTGACCTGTAAGTGGATCTTTAAACGAAAAACAGGGCTGCCAGGAGCTGAAAGTGTGAGATACCAGGCATGTTTGGTGGCTAGAGGTTATAGCCAAGAGCAAGGGGTTGATTATAATGAAATTTTCTCGCCGATGGTGCGTCGTACATCCATTCGGGTATTGTTGGCACTAGTAGCACAAGCAAATTTGGAGTTGGAACAATTGGATGTCAAAACGGTTTTCTTACATGGTGAGCTTGAAGAGGAAATCTATATGAGTCAACCGGAGGGTTTTGTAGCTCAAGATAAAGAAAACTATGTTTGTAAGCTCAAGAAATCGCTTTATGGTTTAAAGCAATCTCCAAGACAGTGGTATAAACGTTTTGACAGCTTTATGGTGAGTCATGGATTTACCAGAAGCCCTTATGATTGCTGTATCTATCATAAGAAAAGTGCTGATGGGTCACATGTGTGTCTGCTACTTTATGTGGACGATATGTTAGTAGCAGCTCGTGATATGCCTCAAATTAAAAAGTTAAAAAGACTCCTTAATTCTGAGTTTGACATGAAAGATTTGGGGGCTGCTCGAAAGATTCTCGGTATGGAGATTATCCGAGATAGATCTAGACGTAAACTTTTCTTGTCATAGAAAAGTTACATTTTGAAGATACTTTCTCGATTTGGTATGGCTTCTACAAAGCCTGTGAGCACACCTTCATCGGCAAATTTCAGATTATCAGTGGCTTTGGCACCTCAAACTGAGGCTGAGGTGGAGTGGAGTATATGAGCGAAGTTCCTTATTCTAATGCCGTAGGAAGTCTTATGTATGTCATGGTCGGCACTAGACCTGACATAGCTCATGCTGTTAGTGTTGTTTCACATTACATGGCTAATCCGGGGAAAGAACATTGGGTTGCCGTGAAACATATTTTTCGCTATCTCAAAGGCACAACTGATGTAGGTCTCATTTATGGAGGAGAAACAGATTGTATTGTGGCTGGATTTTTAAATTCTGATTACACAGCTGACCTTGACACACGAAGGTCATTAACGGGATATCTATTCACTGTTGGAGATGCTTTAGTGAGTTGGAAAGCGACGTTAAAGCTGTCTGTTGCTTTGTCTACAACAGAGGCTGAATATATGGCTCTTATGGAGGTTGCAAAAGAAGGGATTTGGCTGAAAGGTTTGCTTGGAGAGCTTGGGTTTCATCAAGATCGGACTGTAATTTTTTGTGACTGCCAGAGTGTCCTTTGTCTTGCAAAAGACCATCATGAGAGAACGAAACACATAGATATTCGTTATCACTTTATACGTTCGGAAAGGAGAATTAAAGTGAAGAAAGTGAAGACTGATGACAATCCAGCTGATGTACTGACGAAACCAGTTTCTTTGAATAAGTTTAGGCATTGTTTAGATCTCCTAAACATTGATAGCTAGAAGTAATTTTTTTTTGGTACTAGAATTAAAGCCAAGGTGGAGATTTGTTAGATGTGGTTATGATTGAATTAGTTAGTTTTACTTTTCTGTTTAGCATATCTTGACTGTTTCCTATAAATAGTTGGATATCCTCATTTTGTAAAGTCTAGTCTCAATTCGTAAATAGAATTCCTGCAATTCTCTCTACATAGCCGTCTCTAAATTCTCAAAGAGCACTCTTTTTTTATTTGATTTTGGGAATTGCAAGTTTTTCTTCAATAATACTACATACCAGGTTAGAAATGTAATGTACAATATAAATATTACCAAAACGTTTGTTAACTTCTTAATTTTTAATCACATTTGGTTATGGAGGCTATGAATTTATTTACGGTTAATATTTTTATCGCATCCTTGTTTACCAGATATACATGTAGTCATTTTGCAGGAAAAGAAGTTGCTCGACTTGCCTAAGCTGCTAGATATATGTGCCATATACGGGCATGAGAATGAAGAGTTGACGCGATTACTTGTAAGTGTTAGGGAACAAGTTGATATCATGAAGTGTTCTTGATAGATCTGCTGCACTGTGCCTCAATTTAAACTATCAAAATGCAGTGAAGTATTTTTGAAGGACTACTTTAATGGCTTCATGTTATTAGCTAACACAGTAGGGTTGTATTTGTGTATCATGTATGTTTGGATAAAGGCTAATTGAGAAATAAAAACAACCTACATCTGCCTGTTCCTCGCATGTCGTGGCCACCATTGCCCGTACAATAAAAAGAGAGAAAAAGAAAACAACCTACATCTAGTGATCTAGACCAGCTGTCCCTTAAATGGATCAAATCAACACCGATATAAGAAAGCAAGCTAATAGCATTAGAAATGTTAAAGCTACATCCATCCATTATTGTTGTTAAACATCATAGTGTTGTTATAGCTGACCCTTTATTGCCTAAAAGTTTGGACCACCACATTATCTCGTTCTTGTGACAATGCCTTGCCTAGTTCAATCATCTACATAGGAGGCGTCTCTCTTTATTTCTCGTGCTTTATGTGACACTCGAAAGACTTTGGGAGACTTAGCTTGTTTTTTACTTTGATGGTCTGTCAACATCTCAATGGTCATAAGAGCATTGAGTATGCTTTTAAGCTCCACATCGATGCTCTTAAGTTGCCCAAAGCTTGAGACCTTCCATGAAGTTACCCGCCCTTATCACCAAACTTATGGATTTTGGAGCATAAGGTTTGAGAATTCCTTGGCATTTGTTAATGAGTTTTTCACTCCTTAATCTTTTTTTATCCTCAATGTGTCTCGCAAGTGATATCCAGAATTGCTTCAGGAGCTTCGTTTTAAAAGCATCCTGTATGTTGATGGGGACAATGTTGTAAGGGTTCAAACCTTGCCAGACAAATCTGCACATGGTTCTGTAGGTCCCAAAATACCGGAATCTAAAAGCAAGTGAATGACAAACAACAAATATGGAATATCTAGGGTCTAGGCGTCTAGCAAACAAGTAAATGGCTTTCCAACCATAATATACTGACCAAAAGCTAGATTCAAGGCAACATAACCATAAGCAAGCTAAAGTGGTATAGCAAGTAAAGGGACTGAATTTAATGTGGTTCCGCTACAGTGAGGTAGTGTACGTCTACGAGGAGAGAGATCTCACTTGTATTAATATACCAAAGGGAGTACAAAGCAACTTACAATGAAGATTGATCATCGATCAAAGAACTAGTAGAAAAGCCAAATGAAGTAGCTCTTCTCTCTTTTCTCTAGATAGGAATAACCCTTGAAGCTTTTCTTCCCAAAACATAATAGAACTGAAATTAAATGGCTTTTATATGGCAAATATGAGCTCGGGGGCCAGGGGCCAAAATGGGGTGAAAAAACCTCAAATCGCCCAAAAAATCGACCCAAACAACCCCACCTGGACTATGCGGTTGTGCCACATGATTGTGGCCAAGATCGCACACAAGTGGCAGAATCAGGAAATGTGTACCAAAGGGGGGCAGTTCTGTTCCAGTTTTGTAATTGGCAACCAAATTCAACAAATGTCTTTTTTGTATTTTGGCATATTTTCTAGGCCATCAAAGCTCCACTCTGTCCTCAAGGTGTAAACACAACAAAAAATGAACGGAACGAGCCCAAATGTGTCGAGTCGTCTAACTTGTAGTGCATTTCTCCAGGAACCATCACTTTTTCTTTTTAAAATATGGAGATCATGATGATCAAAGAGAGGTAAACATTTGGAGTGGAACTTTTGAAAGGTGAATGTTAGTGGAAATCTGAAGGGACTCCCCATTCTCAAAATACAATACCCCGATCCCTTCATGAATATATCCATCTCCTTGACCATGTTGGAATTCTTGTAATCACATCGATTTTTTATTCTTCATTTTGTTTGAACTTCAACTCCTTTATTTCTTTTCACTAATTATGTTCTTATCCTCATCCAATAGTACCCTCTGTCAATGCCCATGATCACAATTGCACAATTAGGTAAAAGTGCTCTTATCATGACTGGGACGATGTTGATGAGAACAATATGGAACTTCCCAGGAGTTATGTAAGGTAGTTCGTTGCATCAAAACAGAGAAGTTAACTCCAAAAGCATATGTAGAGTCATATTGTCAGTCTCCATCGTGGTGGTGGCCACAAAGGCGATGGAGGTGCCTGTGGAGTGGTCCCCTCTTTATGGACTTCCTTTTCTTTTTCTCAGGCTCCTTCTTGGACCTCCTTACGGCGGTAGTCCAATAACCACAAATTGACCGCCTTCGTTGGCAAAAATCTCCTGCTCGGAACAATTCTCTTCAACGTCGCATTCCAACTGTGTGTCTTGAATTCATGCTTGACTGGTCTCTTTTCTGCAATTGGAGGTTGTTTATCTGTTGGCTTTGAGTCCTTTCTATCTTGTTTCTTTTCTTGCTTCACGATCTGCCAATTGACTTGTACCGAACTTATCGGCACTTGGAGTTGGAGCGAACTAAGTTTTTTCTGCCCTTCGCTTGACTGTTGACATTAGACTCCTCAAGATCTCCTCCTGCTCGATACCTATCCTGATACCTATCGATGTATACCGTTGTGCATTGTGACACCAAATTGACCAAATCACCCAAAGAACTTGTAGATTTAATAATCAGCAAAGTTGTTAAAGGCCAAGGCGCACTTATGGGTCCCGGGGCCTAGGCGCGAGGCTCAAGCGTGAGGTGCGGGCCTCAGGAATACGAGGCACGTCTTATAAGAAAAGTATACATGCCCACACAATTACATTCAACTCAAATATGTAGCAAGTACAGGCCTCTAGTGTAGCAAACAACAGTATTTTGATAGAGGCAAAAAGGTTAAAGCGTGAGCCATGAGGGAGAAGTTTTGTGGTCTGGGTATTTATAGAGAGAGGCTTGTAAGTTATAAGAACGGGGTATTTAATATTAGGGTTTGATTTATGTCATCTATTTAATAATGGGGTTTACAAAAAAAATATTTGCATGCCCTTACAACCACCCTATCTTCTTATTTATATCGTCCTAACTGACTTGTTTTCCCCCATCTTGGTCAACAATCATGGCTGCTACAAAGTGATTTTACTCAAATGGCCTTTGACCCATGTTTATCAGATTCATGAATATTAGTTTTCTTCTCGTCAGGTTGTGCTTGAATGTATGCCAAACTCTCTACCATCTTGCTGTAGGAATCAACATTTTTTAGTACCACAACGTGATAGTGGTTCTGACAACATTGGGCCACTCAACATGTTATCCTTCCCTGTTGTATTTATTATGGCATCAGTATTCAGGACATCTTGCTCAAGCAGGTCAAAGCGGTCTTTGTCTTTGGCCATGGCCATTTATGACTTGTAAGGCAGATGTCCATGAATGAGAGAATTGGATCTCTCATAGCAAACATCTCTCTTTGGGTTCTTCATCGTAGCGACTTCCTTGTTTGATGTCCTTTTTGGAACGAGGGTTAATGCTATGGGCTTGCTCTCATATGAATTGTCATGGACATAATTTTCCTAAGCTCTGTGTGTTCTTAGCCTCCAATCTAAGGGGACCCTGGATAGGGATGGTAATGGGGCAGGGATGGGGCGGGGACCCCAATACCTGTCCCCGTCCCCGATCCCCCGTATGTGTCCCCGTCCCCGTCCCCGCCGGGGATTATGATCACATCCCCATCCCCGTCCCCAACGGGGAACGGGGATCCCCAACGGGGAAACGGGGATTTTTTTAAGCAATTTTATTACAAATCATGATATGGAGATATAAACTGAACAGATACTTAATACCTCAAATCAATTAATCTGTTCG